CTCTAGCAAGCCTGTTCAGAACAAAAACAGAAAATACAAATTACCAATATCATCAATAAAAGAGGGGAAACTACTAAGTATCCTACTGATATTAAAGGAATAATAAGGGAATATTATGAATAACCTTTTGCCATTAAATTTGAGAACATACATGAAAAGGAGGAATTTCTTGAAAGATACAAAATACCGAATCTTACTTATGAAGACATAGATAAGCTGATAGCCCTATATCCTGTATCTATTAAGTAAGTTGAATTTGTTTTCTTAGGAAGAAGCTCCAGGCCCAAAGGGCTTCACTGGTGAATTCAGTGAAACATGTAAGGAAAGAATTAATACCAATTCTACACAAATTCTTCTAGGAAATGAAAAGGAAGGAATACTTTCTACTTCATTTTAATAGGCCAGAGTTTTCGTGAAACTAAACCAGACGAAAACAATATAATAAAATTTCTAATCAATATTCCTCATGAACATAGATGCAAAATTCCTTGACAGAATTTTAGTAAATGGAAACTAGCAATTCATAGAAAGGGTAATACATCATAAACAAGTGGTGTTTATCCTAAGAATGTAAGATGGGCCTAATGTAAGAAAAATAATACTTTGTTAACATACTAAAAAATAGTATGTGATTCTCTAAGTAGATTCAGAATAAGCATTTGATAAAATTGAGCACCCACTAATAATAAAACTCTCACTAAACTAGAATTTCTTCAATCTGATAAAGTATATTTATGAAAAACCTACAGTTAACATCATATTTATGGTGAAATATTGAATGGTTTCCTCTAACTTGGAAGAAAGTAGAGATGTTCATTCTTACCACTTTATTCAATATTGTACTATAAGTCCTAGCCTGTGATAAGGTAAGAAAAAAAAAATATATATATATAGTTTTAAAGGAAGAAATAAAACCTTTTATTCACAGTTGACATGGTCATCTTTCACAAATAGTATGAATCATAAAAGAAAAAGATGAAAGAAGATGTGATAAATTATTTTGTTAAAATAAAAAATACTTGCCTCTTCAGAAGACAAATATGAAAATGAAAAAGCAAGGCACAGATTGTGAGAAAATGTAAAAATTACATTTGACACAGTACTGACATTTATATAAAGAACTCCTACAATTCAATAATAACACATATGCCATATTTTTTTAAAAGGGTAAATATTTAAACAGATTCTTCAGCAAAGGAGATGCTCAGATACTAAATAACTACATGAGAAGATACGGTTAGTCTTATTAGTCATTAGTTTTTAGGAAAATATAAATTAAGATGACAGTGAAATAATACTAGACACTTACTTTAATTGAAAAAACAAACAAACCAGCCTTGGATGGTGTGGTTCACTGGTTAGAGAGTCAGCCCATGTACCAAAGGGTCTTGGGTTCGATTCCTGGTTAAGGGCACATACCTGGTTTGCAGGTTCAGTCCCTTGCCCCAGTCAGGGACATGTGGGAGGGAACAAATTGATGTGTCTTTCATGTCAGTGTTTCTTTCCCTCCCTTTCATTCTCTAAAAATCCATGGAAAAAATATTCTCAGATGAGGATTAACAAAACAAGAAAAAGGAAAAAAAAATGCTAAGTGCTGACAGGATATATAGCAGATGGAACTCTCATACATTGCTGGTGATAATGCAAAATGACACATATGCTTGGGTAAACAGTTTAGCAGTTTGTTATACAGTCAGGCATACCGCCACCATACATTCTGTTCCCAGCTATTTACCCAGGAGAACTGAAAGCATATGTCCATGAAGACTTTTAAGATCATATTTATTGAGACGTAATTTACAAAAATAAAATTCATGCGTTTTAAATTAACAGTTGAAGGAGTGTTATAGACAAATGTTACAGCAGTTTATTCATATTATCCTAACCTGAAAACAACCTGCATGTTCATAAACACATTGTGATATATCCATATATAATGGAACAGTACTTAGCAATATAAAAGGATTAACTCCTGACATGAAACAACATGGATGAATCTCAGAAACATTATGCTAAGAGAAAACCAAACTAAAACGGAGAATACTTTATGATTCCATTTATAGAAAGTTCTAGAAAAGACAAAAATATAGAACAGAGAGCAGATTGGTACTGCCAGGGGCTGTAGATGGAAAAAGGAGGAGTGGGGAATTAATCACAAAGGGTCATGAAGAAACTCTTTTGGGTGACTTAAATCTTTTGTTTCATGATTCTGTTGGTAGTTACACAACTATACATTAAAAAAAAAACACACATCAAAGTGTTCACTTAAAATTGATTAATTTTTTGTGTAAATTATTTCTCAATAAGTCTGATTTTAAAAATTTAGGAAGAAGCCTTGGTCAGTTTGGCTCAGCAGTTAGATCGTGGCCCCCGCAGACCAGAGGGACCCGGGTTCGGTTCCCGCTAAGGGCATGTACCTTGGTTGCAGTTTGTCCCAGGCCCCAGTTGGGGTTGTGTGGGTGGCAACCAGTCGATGTGTCTCTCTCACATCGATGTTTCTTTCTCTTTCTTTCTCCCTTTCTCCCTCCTGCTCTATCTGAAGATAAATGCAAAAATGTCCTCAAGTGAGGAGGGAAAAAAAAAGAAAAATTTAGGGAGAGTGGCATTCTTTTCTAGTTTTGCAAATCTCTTTAATGTCTTGCTCAATAAAAGACATCTTGATCTTACACCCACTTCTGTAGTTAAACTGTCACCCTGTGTTATTTTGGTTAAAGTATATGAAAAATATTCAACCTGTGAGAGAGGTAATTAAAAAGAGGAAGAATGTTTCAATAGTTCTTTTTAGAAAATTGTGAATATTTTTTGCTACTACACTAAAATATGGCGGTGTTGTTTCAGAAAGGTTAATTACAGTAGAATTTGAAATGATATTAGTGAACTTTTTGTACTTTATTACATTAAAATACACTGTCATATACTTGAATGGACCTTTTATCTGTGAATTTGTTATATCATTTGTTAGTTATTTGGAAAATATTGGTTCATTGAGGTCCAAATGTTTGCATATTTTATTTATATGTTATAATTCTACAAAATAGCATTCCTTAATGTCACCACTCATCTTATCAGAAAAGTACTGGGAGTCTGTCAGGCCCTCAGTGGTGGGTGCATCAGTATCCCAGTGGTGTCCTGGTAGAGGGGGTGAGTCTGTTCACTCCTGGGAGAGCTTGGTTTTGGTCTTGTATACCCCTGGGTTTATGGGCAGACCCAGAAATGCTCTGGCTGTAAAAGTTGGTCTAAAAAAGAGTAGTTAAGGTGGTCAGAGAGTGAAGGGCATGCCTTGGTACTAGAAATATTAAGATATTTCAGTTTGGAGAGGCAGATTCAAGTATTAAAAAATCTTGAAAAAAAAATGAGTTGATTGAACGTGGGCGTATTCATCAGCTCCCACAACTATCTGAGCCACTTAAAACTTTTAAGAGGTAAATTCAGGGCATCTAACCAGCAGAACTGAGATTTTAAACTCTGAAGTACTCCTTGCCAAATGGCAGAACTCCTAAAATGAGGTGAAGAGATGAGTGTGAACAGGTTTATTAGTCATCTCTTGGCATTGTTCTTTTTTCCTTTTTAAAGTATAGTGGACATATAGTATTATATTAGTTTCAGGTGTACAATCTAGTGATTCAACATTTATATATCTTATGAAATTGTTTTTTGAGCAGGGATTATTAGAATTCTTGGGTCAAAGCCAGAGCAGTGGCTGCCATTTATTTTTTGGTTTCCAGCCTAGGTGGAGGAGTAATTAGATTTTAAAAAGAAAATCTGTTTTAATCCTGGGATTTTATTACTTCAGAAGATGAAGTCGATAAACCTCCTTAACTGTTAATGAGATTACTGTAGCAAGTTTCTTGTGTGATTCTTTTTTTTTTTTTTTTAATCCTCACCCGAGGACATTTTTCCATCTTTTGTTCAGACAGAGTGGGAGGGAGAGAGAGGAAGAGAGAGAGAGAGAGAGAGAGAAACATCGACATGAAAGAGACACATCGAGTGGCTGCCACCCACACAACCAACCAGGGGCGGGGACAAACTGCAACCGAGGTTCATGCCCTTAGCGGGAACCGAACCCGGGTCTCTCCGGACCGCAGGCTGACGCTCTAACTGCTGAGCCAAACCGGCCAGGGCTAATGACTTTTTATTTTAATATTATTTTAAAAATTTCTTTATTGTTGCAACTGTTACAGATGTCCCCCTTTTTTCCCCTCTTTGACCCCCTTCAACCCTGCTCCTGCCCTCCCTCCCCCCCAAAGCCTTTACCACACTATTATCTGTGTCTGTGGGTTATTGTCTGTGACTGTGGTTAATCTCTTTCCCACCCCCCCACCCCCTTCCTTCTGAGATTCACTGGTCTGTTCCATGCGTCCATATTTCTGGATCTATTTTGTTCATTAATTTACTTGGTTCATTAGATTCTACATATAAGTGAGATCATGTGATACTTGTCTTTCTCCAACTGGCTTATTTTGCTTAGCATAATAATCTCCAGGCCCCTCTATGCTGTCTCAAAGAGTAGGAGACCCTTCTTTTTTACAGCTACAGAGTATTCCATTGTGTAAATATGCCACAACTTTTTTATCCACTCATCTACTAATGGGCTCTTGGGTTGTTTCCATATCTTAGCTATTGTAAATAGTGCTGCTATAGAATGGTGTCTTAGAAATTAGAAAGTGTCTTTTGATATATTTAAGAAAGTAGTATCTTTCATGCTCTACCAAAACCCTTTCTAGAGTATAGGGTTTGGGAAGAGAGCTATAATAACAAACTAGGAATGTCATGTTTCCATGTTTGTGTCTGAGGAAGGGAGAAGATAAAAAGGAAAGGTTTCCATAATCTCCCAGTCCCTTGTATTCTAGTGCTTGCCGGCTTGTTCATGTATTGCAAGTGATTCCCTAGGGTGGTATTCTTGAGCGAGCTTGTACACTTCTTGGTACTCACTGTTTGTTGGTTATAGACCTGTAACTTCTATAGTCTTTGCTTTACTGAGAAGATTTTTTCAATTTCAGGTCAAAAGCATCAGAATGAATTTCAGCTTCTGGTGGATCAGGCCAAAAAAGGATACAAGAAAACTGTTGAAATGTCCAAAAAAAAAGTAACGAAAAAAGAAGCTGAATCTACAGAAAAGCTATTCTCTGTGTGCATGGGTAAGAGACTTTAATTAAAAACAGAAATTATGTTGAATTTCACTGTTCATCTTAATATAAAATGTTAAACCAAAGGAATTACCTTGTATGTAGTAGATATTTGAAATAGGAAAATATAGTTTTAGACATAGAGCAATTTTTTTTTTTTTTTAGAGAGGAAGGGAGAGGGAGAGAGAACATTGATTGGCTGCCTCCTGCATGCCGCTCTAACTGGGGAATTGGCCCACAGCTGGGCATGTGCCCTGACCAGGAATCAAACTGGTAACCTCATGGTGCATGGGTCGATTCTCAGCCACTGAGGTATACCACCAGCTGGGCAAACCTGCCATCTTTTAATGTACAAGGTGATGCTCCAGCCAACTGAGCCTCACCAGCCGGTGCAGCATAAGATTTATTATTTTAACCTTTCCTAAATGTACACTTCACTGGCATTAAATACATTCATAATGTTGTGTAACCATCACCACTATCTGTACCCAAACCTTTTTTCTCATCTCCACTGAAAACTCTGTGCCCATAATAATAACTCTGTCCCCTCCCCACTTCCTCCAGCCCCTGGTAATTCTGCTTTCTGTGTCTATGAATATGCTATTTTAGGTACCTCATATGGGTGGAATCATATAATATTTGTTCTTCTGTGTCAGCTTATTTCATTAAGCATGATGTTTTCAAGGTCCTTAAGTGGTAGCATATGTTAAAATTTCATTACTTTTTTGGCTGAATAATATTGCATTGTATGTATATACCACATTTTAACCATTCATCTATAATGGGTTATTTTCACCTTTTGGCATTTGTGAATAATACTGCTATAAACATTGCTTTTTACATTTTTTTTCAAGTCTCTGCTTTCCATTCTCTTGAATATATACATAGGAATGGAATTTCTGGTTCATATGGTAATTTTGTGTTTACCTTTTGAAAAACCACCAAATCATTTTCAGTAGTGGCTGCATCATTTAAATTCCCACCAGCAATGCTTGACGACTTCAGATTCTTTATATCCTCATCAATATTTGTCTTTTTGTACATGGCCACGGTGGTAGGTATGAAGTAGTATCTCATTTTGGTTTTGATTTGCATTTTCTTGTTGCCTAGTGACGTTGAACATCTTTTCATATGGTTATTGCCTTCTTTGGAGAATGTCTCTTAAGTCCTTCCCTTGTCCATTTTTTAAATTGGGTTGTTTTGTTTGTAAACATTTTCATGGTAGTCTTTTTGCTTTCTTGATAGTATCTTTTGATCCATATGTGTGCTTGATTTTTATGAAATCCAATTTATCACATTTTTCTTTTCTTGCTTATACTTTTGGTGTTATATGATGAAGTTGCTGCCAAGTCAGTGTCATGAAGATTTTCCTTTATATTTTTTCTATGAGTTAATTTTTACATATGGTGTAATGTAAGGGGTTCAGGTTCATTCTTTCAGATGTAGATAATTCAGTCTGAGCACCATTTGTTAAAAGACTGTCCTTTCTCCCTGGCCAGTTTGGCTCAGCGGTTAGAGCATTGGCCCACGGATCAGAGTTCCGGGTTTGGTTCCCGCTAGGGGTGCGATTCTCGGTTGTTTGTCCCCAGCCCCATGGAGTTGTGTGGGTGGCAGCCAGTTGATGTGTCTCTCTCACATCGATGTGTCTCTCTCTCTCTTCCTCCCTCTCTCCTTCCCACTCTATCTGAAGATAAATGCAAAAATGTCCTCGGGTGAGGATTAAAAAAAAACAAACCATCCTTTCCCCATTGAATGCTCTTGACATCCTTGTTGAAAATCAGTTAATTATATCCGTGAGGGTTTATTTCTGTACTCTCAATTCTATTGGTCTGTTTGTCATTATGCCAGTAGTATACTGTTTTAATTATTGTAGCTTTGTAATGAATTTTGAAATTGATATGAGTCCTCCAGCTTTATTCTTCCTTTTCAAGATTATTTTGGCTATTTGGGTCCCTTGAGATTCCATGTGAATTTTAGGATGGATTTTTCTATTTCTGCAAAAAGTGTCATAGGGACTCCATTAAATCTGTAGATTGCTGTGGTTAGTTTTGACATCTTTGTTTGTTTGTTTGTTTGTTACAGATGTTTCTCCTTTTTTCCCCATTGACACCCTCCTCCCCATCCCCTCAACCCCGTCCCCAGCTTTGTTGTCCATGTCCATTGGTTATGTGTACATGCATATAAGTTCTGTGGTTTATCTCTTCCCTTCCCCTCACCCCCTTTTCTGAAGTTTGTCAGTCTGTACCTTCCACGACTCTGGGTCTACCCTATTCCTCAGACTGTTATGTTCATTATATTCCACAAATAAGTGAGATCATGTGATATTTGTCTTTCTCTGCTCGGCTTGTCTCCCTTAGGATAATACTCTCCAGGTCCCTCCATGTCCTCTCAAAAGATAAGATAAGCTTTTTTATCCATTTGTCTACTGATGAGCACTTGGGCTGTTTCCAGATCTCAGCTATTGTAAATAGTGCTGCTATGAACATGGGGGTACATATATTCTTTCTGATTGGTGTTTTAGGCTTCTTAGGGTATATTCCTAGAAGTGGCATCACTGGGTCAAATGGCAATTCAATTTTTAATTTTTTGAGGTAACACCATATTGTTTTCCATAGTGGCTGCACCAGTCTGCATTCCCACCAGCAGTGTACTAGAGTCCCCTTTTCTCCACACCCTCGCCAACACTTGTTGTTTGATGATTTGTTGATGGCGGCCATTCTGACAGGTGTGAGGTGATAACTCATTGTTGTTTTAATTTGCATCTCTCTGATGATTAGTGATGTTGAGCATTTCTTCATATGTCTTTTAGCCATTTGTATGTCCTGTTTGGAGAGGTGTCTATTTAGTTCCTCTGCCCATTTTTTAATCGGGTTCTTTGTCTTCCTTTGGTTGTGTTGTATGAGTACTCTATATATTTTAGAAATTAACCCCTTATCTGATATATCATTGGCAATGATGTTCTCCCTACAGTGGGTTGCCTTTCCATTTTGATGGTTGTATCTTTTGTTGTGCAGAAGCTTTTTAGTTTGATGTGTCCCATGTGTTCATTTTTTCCTTTGTTTCTGTTGCCTTAGGTGATGTATCAGTGAAAATTCTGCTGCGTATGTTGTTTGAAATTTTATTGCCTACATTTTCTTCTAGGATTTTTATGGATTCATGAGTCACATTTAAATCTTTCATCCATTTTGAGTTTATTCTTGTGTATGGTGTAAGTTGATGGTCTAGTTTCATTTTTTTGCATGTAGCTGTCCAATTTTCCCAACACCATTTATTAAAGAGGCTGTCTTTACTCCATCGTATGCTTTTGCCTCCTTTGTCAAATACTTATTGAGCATAATGTCTTGGGTCAATTTCCGGGTTCTCTGTTCTGTTCTACTGGCCTAGATGCCTGTTCTTGTGCCAGTACCAGGCTGTTTTGATTATAGTAGCTTTATAGTGTAACCTGATATTCTGTATTGTGATCCCACCCACTTTGTACTTCTTTTTTAAGATTGCTGTGGGTATTCGAGGTCTGTTTTGGTTCCATATGAACTTTTGAAGTATTTGTTCTAATTCTGTGAAATATGTCTTTGGTGTTTTGATGGGGATTGCATTGAATCTATAGATTGCTTTGGGTAATATGGACATTTTAATGATGTTAATTCTTCTCATCTATGAACAAGGTATGTGCTTCCACTTTTTTATATCTTCCTCTGTTTTTTTTTTTTTTTTTTTTTTTTTTTATCATCCTCACCGAGGACATTTCTCCATTTTTTTGTTCAGGTAGAGTGGGAGGGAGAGAGAGAGGAACAGAGAGAGAGAGAAACATCGATGTGAAAGGGACACATCGAGTGGTTGCCACCCACACAACCAACCAGGGCCGGGGACAAACTGCAACCAAGGTACATGCCCTTAGCGGGAACCGAACCCGGGTCTCTCAGGACCGCAGGTCGACGCTCTAACTGCTGAGCCAAACCGGCCAGGGCTGTTTTTTTTTTTCCAATGTCCTGTAGTTTTTGGCAGATAGGTCCTTTACTTCTTTGGTTAAGTTTATTCCTAGGTATCTTAAATTTTTTGCAGCAATGGTAAATGGGATTTTTTTTTTAGTTTCTCTTTTTTTTGTGATTTCATCATTGGTGCATAAGAATGCCGTCAATTTCTTGACGTTAATTTTGTATCCTGCTACTTTGCCAAATTCATTTATTAAGTCTAGTAGATTTTTGATGGAGTCTTTAGGGTTTTCTATGTATAATATGTCATTTGCGAATAATGACAGTTTCACTTCCTCCTTTCCAATTTGGATCCCTTTTATTTTTTCTTCCTTTCTGATTGCTGTGGCTAAGACTTCCATACTATGTTAAATAAGAGTGGCAAAGGAGGGCATCCCTGTCTTGTTCCTGTTCTTAAGGGAAATGCTTTTAGTTTCTCTTCATTGAGTATGATGTTAGCTGTAAGTCTTTCATATATGGGCTTTATTATGTCAAGATATGATCCCTCTGTTTCCACATTGCTGAGTGTTTTTTATCAGACATGGGTGCTGGATTTTGTCGAATACTTTTTCAGCATTTATTAATATGATCATGTGGTTTTTGTCTTTCATTTTGTTTATGTGGTGCATCATATTTATCGATTTGCAAATATTGTACCATCCTTGCATCCCTGGGATAAATTCCACTAGGTCATGGTGAGTAATTTTTTTGATGTATTGCTGGATCCGATTTGCTAGTATTTTGTTAAGGATTTTGGCATCTGTGTTCATCAGGGATATTGGCCTGTAGTTTTCTTTCTTTGTAGTGTCTTTTTCTGGTTCTGGAATTAGAATTATGCTGTCCTCATAAAACGAGTTTGGAAGTCTTCCTTCTTCTTGAAATTTTTGGAATAGTTTGAGGAGAATGGATATTAGTTTTTCTTTGAATGTTTGGTACAACTCCCCCATGAAGCCATCTGGACCTGGGCTTTTATTTGCTGGGAGAGTCTTGATTATATCTTCAATTTTCTTAGTTTTTATTGGTTTGTTCAAGTTTCCCATTTATTCCCAGTCCAGTTTTGGGAGACTATGTGTTTCTAGAAATTTGTCCTTTTCACTTAGATTGTGATGTTAGTTTTTCTTTGAATGTTTGGTACAACTCCCCCATGAAGCCATCTGGGCCTGGGCTTTTATTTGCTGGGAGAGTCTTGATTACATCTTCAATTTCCTTAGTTTTTATTGTTTTTTTTTTTCAAGTTTATCATTTATTCCCAGTCCAGTTTTGGGAGACTGTGTTTCTAGAAATTTGTCCATTTTGCTTAGATTGTCGAATTTGTTGCCATAATTGTTCATAGTATTTGTTAACAATCCTTTGTGTTTCTGTGGTGTCAGTTGTTACTTCTCTTTTATTTCTGATTTTGTGTATTTGGGTTCTCTCTCTTTGTTGTCTTGATGAGTCTAGCTAAGGGTCCATCAATCTTGTTTATCTTTTCAGAAAACTAGCTCTTTGTTTCATTGATCATTTGACTTGTTTTTTTGGTCTCTATGTCATTTATTTCTGCTCTGATCTTCACTATTTCCTTCCTTCTACTTGCTCTGGGGTTTTCTTTTTGTTTGCTTTCTAGTTCTTTAAGTTGTAAGGTTAGATAGTCAATTAGAAATTTTTTTTTGTTTCTTGAGGTAGGCCTGTAGTGCTACGAACTTCCCTCTCAAAACTGCTTTTGCTGCTAGATTTTGTGTTGTGTGTTCATTTTCATTGGTTTCCAGGAAGTTTTTAATCTCTTTCTTGATCTTTTCGATAACCCATTCGTTGTTTAATAACATGCTATTTAGCCTCCATGTGTTCAAATGTCTTTGCATGTTCTTGTTGCAATTGATTTCTAGTTTCATACCATGTAATCTGAGAAGATGCTTGATATGATTTCAGTCTTAACTTGTAGAGACTTAGTTTGTGTCCTAACATGTGGTCTGTCTTTGAGAATGTCCCATGTGCACTTGAGAAGAATGTGAATTCTGTAGTTTTGGGTATAATTCTCTGTAGATATCTGTTAAATCCATTTGGTCTAGTGCTTCATTTAGAGTCTCTGTTTCCTTGCTAATTTTTTGTCTAGAGGATCTATCCAGTGATGTCAGCAAGGTGTTGATATCCCCTGCTATGATTGTATTGCTGTCAGTTTCTTCTTTGAAGTCCTCCAGAAGATTTTTAATATATTTTGGTGCTCCTGTATTGGGTGCATATATGTTTACCATGGTTATATCTTCCTGTTGGATAGATCCTTTCAATAGTATGTAGTGTCCTTCTTTGTCTCTGGTTATGGCCTTCATTTTGAAATCTATTTTATTGATATGAGTATTGCTATTTCAGCTTTTTTTTACTTTCCATTTGCTTGGAAGATTTTCTTCCATCCCTTCATTTTCAACCTATGTGAGTCTTTTGTTGTGAGGTGGATCTCTTGTAAAGAACATAGTTTTGACATCTTAACAGCTTTTTTCCAGTCATGAATGCAGGATCATCATTCATTTATGTATCTGTTCTTTAATTTCTTTCAACAATGTTTTATATTTTTCAGCATGCAAGTCTTTTACCTCCTTAGATATATTCCTAAGTATTTTATTTGTCCTGAATTCTGGTGTCATATAGTAAGTAGGTTGCTGGTCTTTGTGAACAACTTGGATTTGTTCATATGGTTGTTAAAGGATAGTCTTAGAAAGTAGTTAGCTCCTGAGAAAATCTGGTTTATTATCTCAGATTAGGACAACATTTTTGTTTATTGGTTGAATCTCTTGAAAATGATTGATTGCTTATACTCAGGGATTTTGTATTATACAGGGTGGGGCAAAAGTAGGTTTACAGTTGTAAGTGCATGAAACAGTTTGTTCTTATATTAGTTTTTATTAATTATTGTACTATTCTCCATATAAATAACTGTAAACCTACTTTTGCCCCACCTGTCTGTTTATTGCACATAAATACTGCTCTCCCTGTGGTTCGCAGATAAGTGCTGCTAATAGACTGCTGTGCATGAATGCACATGTGTGGGAGAGGTGGGGAGTGTGGGAGGAAGACAGACTCACAGACTGACTGAGAGATTGCATTTTGTATGGCATCATACACATGTATGTACTGTGTAATTTTTGTTCTTTAGAATAAACTTGCTCATTGAAGTGCCAATATAAATTTTAAAAGTTGTGTGTTCTGTGAAGTAAAACCTTCATTTATTTTGTTGCTTGTCTTTGGGGAAGTTTGATGTTAGAGCCTCATGTTTTGGGACTCTAATTTGAAGTCCTCTTCTGACATCTGTGGACAGATAGGATAGATAACTGACTTGCATTGCCCACAAATTGTATGATGTTTGTCCCCAAGAGGGAATTTATCTAATAAAAGCTTATTAAAGAGGGGAAGAAGTAAGAGAAGATTGTAAAACAGGTGCAGAAATAAAAGATAGTTTTTTTGTTTTTTTTTATCCTCACCCGAGGATATTTTTTCATTTTTTTATACAGATAGAGTGGGAGGGAGAGAGAGGAAGGGAGAGAGAGAGAGAAAAACATCGATGTGAAGGGACACATCGAGTGGCTGCCACCCGCACGACCAACCAGGGCCGGGGACAAACTGCAACCGAAGTACATGCCCTTAGCGGGAACCGAACTCGGGTCTCTCTGGACCGCAGGCCGACGCTCTAACCGCTGAGCCAAACTGGCCAGGGCCAGAAATAAAAGATAGTTTTAAGTTGAATAGAATTCTGTTCCTTGGTTGACATTGTGAGTTGGGTGACCTGTTGAGTGATAGAGTTGCTTGGATTTACTGAGTTTAGTGGGTGATTGAGTCCTCGTAACATGATCCTGGGTGTCTCTTTACAAGAGGAGATCCCGGTGGTTTTCCTGGTTAGCGTCTTTCTTCCTTTTCCCAGGTGAATATTAGAGAGTAATAAATAGCATGTGTAACCATGGATTAATATTTTCAGTATATATACATAATTCTTAAAAGCAATATGAAAGTATTTAAATAATAAAAATAAAACCTCTAAAAATCAAAAGGAAAATGGGGGGCAGGAGCTAGACAACATTAGGAGCTTAGTTTTAGACATTGTTCTATTGTGATATATGCTGTTCTCCAGTACAACAAAATCTTATATAATTATTTCTGGAAAAATCCTGACTATATGGACTTTGAAAGTTTTTTTCTCTTCCTCTTTTTCTACAATTTTCCTCTTTTTAACAAACCTCGACAGTTCTTTTGATTGTCCTTTGTTAAGTCACTTGCCTCTGTGTGGAATCTGCTTCTCTGAGACTCATGAAAGGGGCTCATACTGGTAGTACTTATGGCTTGCATGTTAAGTACAGTACTGACTCAGATCCTGAGTCGAGAAGACAGCACAACTGAAATCCCAGCGGAGTTCCGAAACAGGTGTGAGGGAGAGTTCTGAGCACTGAAGTCTTCACGGGGAATATTTTCTGCACTCACATCTGCAGATATGTGGTTCTACCTGCATAGGACATTGTTGCAAACCTTGTGTCTTTATCTGAAAGAAGAGAGCTCAGAAATCGAGAATATCAAAAGAGATGCATAGAAATGTGACAAGTGATTCGTTTTTCTTTCTCATAGCGAATACTAAATTCATTGTAACAGATTTAGAAAAATGTCCAGATAGATTCACTACCATACAGTAGTCAGTGACAAATATTGTGATTGTTTTATTAGTTGAATTTTTAATCCTTTTTTGTTATGCTTCCTATGTTTATCAGTGTATTCTGCCCTATGGATATGCAGGAATTCTTTACCAATACTGTAAATAGAAACTACATTAGAATTATAAGGTTCTTGCCTGGGCAATAGGACTCAGTGGTTGAGCATCAAACCATGCATCAAGAGGTCACTGGTTCAGTTCCTGGTCAAGGCACATGCCCAGGTTGTGGGCCCAGTCCCCAGTGGAGGGGCATGCAGGAGGTGGCCAATTGATGTTCTCTCTCATCGATGTTTCTCTCTCTCTCTCAAAAAAAAAACAAACAAAAATTTTTAGAATTATAAGGTTCTCCCCACTCCTGGTTCAAAAGAAATTTTGTTTTAAAATAATTGAACTGGAAATACATGGGGTGGATAATATAATTAGATGGCACCATTGTAATGTTGATTCTGATTCTCTGGCTGTCAGTAGAGTTTTAGAACCAGTTAAATAAATTTTTATTTTACTAAGTACAAATAGTAAATGTTGTGTTAATAATAAATATACAGAGGTTGTAGGTTTTAAGGTACTGTACTCTTACTTGTTTCCTGTTTTCCTTATTTTTTTTCATTTTAGAACAGGAAGGTAATCAAATGAAATTCCCAGATATGCCCTTGGTAATAAACCACTTCCCCCAATCAAAGCTGGGCTCCCCAGGGATATTAGAGCCTGATAGACCTGATGATTCTTCTAGTTCTACTGATATTCAAGAAGACGCTCTTTCTTCATCCGAATCAGATTCGTGCAATAGGTAAGAAACTCGTAGTAGTAATTTTTTTTTTTTTAGTTTATTTATTTATTTATTAATTAATTTTTGTTACAGATGTTTCTTCATTTTCCCCCACTGATTCCCCCCTCCTCCTCCCTCCTGCCCTTTCCCCAGTTTGTTGTCCATGTCCACTGTTCATGCATACATGCATATAAGTTCTGCGGTTTATCTCTTCCCCACCACCCCCCCTATTTAGGGGACTGTCAGTCTGTATCCCACTTCCACATCTCTGGGACTACCCCCTTTCTCAGACTGTTATGTTCATTATATTCCACAAATAAGGGAGATCATATGAAACTTGTCTTTCTCTGTTTGGATTGTTTCACTTAGGATGATACTTTCCAGGTCCCTCCATGTCACCTCAAAGGATAAGAGATCTTTCTTTCTTACCGCTGCATAGTACTCCATTGTGTATATGTACCACAGCTTTTTTATCCATTCGTCTACTGATGGATACTTGGGCTGTTTCCAGATCTTAGCTATTGTAAATAGTGCTGCTACAAACATGGGGGTACATATATTCTTTCTGATTGGTGTTTCAGGCTTCTTAGGGTATATTCCTAAAATGGATCACTGGGTCAAATGGAAGTTCAATTTTTAACTTTCTGAGGTAACACCATGTTGTTTTTTTATAGTGGCTGCACCAGTGTACATTCCCACCAGCAGTGTACTAGAATCCCCTTTTCTCCACACCCTCGCCAACACTTGTTGTTTGATGATTTGTTGATGGCGGCCATTCTGACAGGTGTGAGGTGATACCTCATTGTTGTTTTAATTTGCATCTCTCTGATGATTAGTGATGATGAGCATTTCTTCATATGTCTCTTAGCCATTTGTATGTCCTGTTTGGAGAGGTGTCTATTTAGTTCCTCTGCCCATTTTTTAATTGGATTCTTTGTCTTCCTTTTGTGGAGTTGTATGAGCACTCTATATTTATTGGAAATTAACCCCTTATCTGATATATCATTGGCAATGATGTTCTCCCATACAGTGGGTAGCCTTTCCGTTTTGATGATTGTATCTTTCGCTGTGCAGAAGCTTTTTAGTTTGATGTAGTCCCATGTGTTCATTTTCTCCTTTGTTTCTATTGCCTTAGGTGATGTATCAGTAAAAATTCTGCTGCGTATGATGTCTGAAATTTTGTTGCCTACAGTCTCTTCTAGGATTTTTATGGATTCATGAGTTACATTTAAGTCTTTTATCCATTTTGAGTTTATTCTTGTGTATGGTGCAAGTTGATGGTCTAGTTTCATTTTTCTCCAAGTAGCTGTCCAATTTTCCCAGCACCATTTATTAAAGAGGCTGTCCTTACTCCACTGTATGCTCTTGCCACCTTTGTCAAATATTAATTGAGCATATTGCCTTGGGTCCATTTCTGGGTTCTCTGTTCTGTTCCAGTGGTGTATCTGTCTGTTCTTGTGCCAGTACCAGGCTGTTTTGATTACAGTGGCTTTGTAGTATAACCTGAAATCTGGTATTGTGATCCCTCCAACTTTGTTCTTCCTTTTTAAGATTGCTGTGGCTATTCGAGGCCTTTTTTGGTTCCATGTGAACTTTTGAAATAATTGTTCTAATTCTGTGAAGTATGCCGTTGGTATTTTGATGGGGATTGCGTTGAATCTATAGATTGCTTTGGGTAATACGGACATTTTAATGATGTTAATTCTCCCAATCCATGAACAGGGTTTGTGCTTCTACTTTTTTATGTCTTCCTCTATTTCTTTTTTCAATGACCTGTAGTTTTCTGCCAATAGGTCCTTTATTTCTTTGGTTAAGTTTATTTGTAGGTATCTTAATTTTTTTTCCGCAATGGTAAATGGGATTTTTTGCTTAGTTTCTCTTTCTGTGAGTTCATCATTGGTGTATAAGAATGCCATCGATTTCTTGACATTAATTTTGTATCCTGCTACTTTGCCAAATTCATTTATTAAGTCTAGTAAACTTTTGATGGAGTCTTTGGGGTTTTCTATGTATAGTATCATGTCATCTGCAAATAATGACAATTTCACTTCCTCCTTTCCAATTTGGATCCCTTTTATTTTTTCTTCCTGTCTGATTGCTGTAGCTAAGACTTCCAGTACTATGTTAAATAGTAGCGGCGAAAGTGGGCATCCTTGCCTTGTTCCTGTTCTTAAGGGAAATGCTTTTAGTTTTTGCCCATTGAGTATGATGTTGGCTGTAGGTCTTTCATATATGGCCTTTATTATGTCTAGATATGATCCCTCTATTTCCACACTGCTGAGCGTTTTTATCAGAAATGGATGCTGGATTTTGTCGAAGGCTTTTTCAGCATCTATTGATATTATCATGTGGTTTTTATTCTTCATTTTATTTATGTGGTGTATCACGTTTATGGATTTGAGAATATTGTACCAGCCTTGCATCCCTGGGATGAATCCCACTTGGTCATGGTGGATAATTTTTTTGGTGTATTATTGGATCCGATTTGCTAATATTTTGTTCAGGATTTTGGCATCTATGTTCATCGGGGATATTGGCCTGTAGTTTTCTTTCTTTGTTGTGTCTTTTTCTGGTTTGGAATTAGAATTATGCTGGCTTCATAAAACGAGTTTGGAAATCTTCCTTCTTTTTGAGTTTTTTGAAATAGTTTGAGGAGAATGGGTATTAGTTCTTCTTTGAATATTCGGTAAAACTCCCCCATGAAGCCATCTGGGCCTGGGCTTTTATTTGCTGGGAGAGTCTTGATTACATCTTCAATTTCTTCTGTTGTTATTGGTCTGTTCAAGTTTTCTATCTCTTCCTGATCTAGTTTTGGGAGACTATGTGTTTCTATAAATTTGTCCATTTCGCTTAGATTGTCAAATTTGTTGCCATATAGTTGTTCATAGTAGTTGTTAACAATCTTTTGTATTTCTGTGGTGTCAGTTGTTATCTCTCCTCTTTCATTCCTGATTCTGTGTATTTGGGTTCTCTCTCTTTGTTTCCTGGTGAGTCTAGCTAAGGGTCCATCAATCTTGTTTATCTTTTTGAAAAACCAGCTCTTTGTTTTATTGATTCTTTGAATTGTTTTTTTGGTCTCTATGTCATTTATTTCTGCTCTGATCTTTCCTATTTCCTTCCTTCTACTTGCTCTGGGGTTTTCTTTTTGTTTGCTCTCTAGTTCTTTAAGTTGTGAGGTTAGATAGTCTATTAGAAATTTTTCTTCTTTTTTGAGGTAGGCCTGTAGTGCTATGAACTTCCCTCTCAGATCGTAGTAGTAATTTTAAATGTCTGTTTCCTGTGCAAGCTAAGATGGACAGGCACAAATAATTAGAAGATAACTTTTAAGCATGATGCAGTTCCTCAGGCTTCCCTTTCAGTCCCCTTTTACTGCACTCACTTTCAGAATGACAGCGAGGCAGTGCATGGGAGAGGATGTGCTGCAGTCCAAGGGAGAAGAGGTCAGTGCCCCCAACTGGTCAGATATTGCATGTTTTAAAAATTACTACAACACACTGGTTGAAAATCTCTGCTCTAGCATGATAGATTATGTCTAATCTGAATCATCAAATAAAGAAGACTTTTATTTTAATCCTCACCTGAGGATGTTTTTCCATTTATCTTCAGATAGAGTGGGAGGGAGGAAGAGAGAGAGAAACATCGACGTGAGAGGTACACATTGACCGGTTGCCTAATGCATGACCCTGACCAGGGCGGCGGGCAAACCGCAACCAAGGTACGTGCCCTTGACCGGAATCGAACCCGCAACTCATTGGTCTGTGGGCTGACACTCTAACCGCTGAGCCAAACCAGCCAGGACAAGGAGACATTTTTTTTTTTATAAGAGGAGCATACCCAAAGACTGTCTTCCTTCCTAGGGTTTCTAGAACCAGAATCAAGTATTAGGAAAGGAATATCTTCTCTCCTCACCCCTAATGTTTTCAAGGTCAAAATATTATACTGTATCTCAAGTTGAGTAAGGGAAAAACATGTGGTAGCCTGAGTATTCTCTAGGAGTGTGGTCATGCTGCCACACAGCTATTCTAGGTAAGGCCATTCTTGCATGTCCAGTGGATAGTATGTATTTTTAAACACAAGACTTACAGGATGACAGGGTTAAAGTGAAGGAATACCAGAGTGTAGAGAGAGTAAGAGTTTTTAACCATAGTCACAGGATGCCTGAACGTTTCTAATGCTGGGGTGAAACAGGACATTTTGATGGACTTGGTGTGGGAATGGAGGAGAGTTAAAAGGGAAACACATGGCAGCCAGGATGTTTATCTCTGGAAACAGGATGAGTTTGGAGGAGGTCTTGGCTTCAGACAGACCTGTTGACAGCACCGAACTGTGAGAGGATTATTAAACCATTAAAATTTTTTAAACATAAGCTTTTAATTTTATTTCACATTTTAATTAGTTATGCATACGTGCATGTTTATAACCCACACACCCATGCACCCATGATTAGTATAAGTACCTACTAATTTCAGATAATTCACATACTGTACGATTCAGTCATTTAAGTGTACAATTCCATGGTTTTTAGTATGTTCATAGAATTGTATTGCCATCATCACCATTTTAGAACATTTTCGTCACCCCAAAATTACCAGTCATTCCTCATTTCCTTCCCTTTAAAATTGTAAATATTAAATGTTAATCTTTAAATTGTTTATTTTGTTTGTGTTCTTTTTTATACTCCCCTTTTTACTATCCTGTTATTTTGTCATTCTGAGATTTTTAAGTTTAAAAGGGAGACTCTCGCCCTGGTCAGTTTGGCTCAGCGGTTAGAGTGTCGGTCTACAGACCAATGAGTCACGGGTTCAATTCCAGTCAAGGGCACATACCTTGGTTGCGGTTAGTCCCTGGCCCTGGTGGGGTCATGCGGGAGGCAACCAGTCGATGTAGCTCTATCACATTGATGTTTCTCTGTCTCTCTCCCTCCTTCTCACTCTATGTGATGATAAGTAGAAAAATATTCTCAGGTGAGGAATAAAAAATAAATTAATTAGCTCTGACTGGTTTGGCTCAGCGGTTAGAGT